GACAACAAAGAAAGGTGGCTTTCAAAGTTGAATATTTCAGTGCAATAAATTCTGTATTATTTAAATTTCAACACTAAGTATTCAGTATTGAGTTTTTAAATAAACTGATATTCAGCTGGTAATATATTTTTTATGGCAATGATTTGCTTCCATTGTTATGCATCTGTTTATAGATCAGTAATAGGCCACTATTTAGTTCTTCGGGAAAGTTCCCTCCGCTGGATAGTTTACCCTCTGACTTTGTTGGAAAGGGATGCGTCCAAACTCCTCTTATTAACTTATTTTATAACAGCAGACTCAAATGATTATGAAAGCCTTTAATAATTTATTAAAGATGACTTGCTAAATTTTGCTGTTGGCTTGTTAGAAAATAATAACTTCTATAACTGCTGACATACTAACATTATTACCTAGTCTATTAAAGAGTGAGAACATTTTGAAAGAAATTGAGATTTTTCACAAACTGGCAAACCAAACGTTGTTCTTACTAATGACTCATAAGTAATTCATAAAGTATTAGTAAACCATTAGTAAGCCATTAGATGCAGATTATAAACCCTTCAGAAAGGGTGGTTTATTAAAATGTGGTACTAAACCAAACAGTAAACTTGAAAATCACTTTGGCCTGATTTTTAACTGAAAAACAGACAAATTGTGATTTCAGCTGGATTTTAGTTAGTAAAAAAAGATTTTTTTCCCAAAGTAGTTCATCTGCCTCTTCTTCCTTTCCTTTACACAGTGCAATACTGTCTGTGAATAAAAAACTGAGCGAGTTTTTGATGCATCTGAGCATTTGAGAATACCACTCCTCATGAATCCAGTGTGTAGATGCTTATCACATTAGGCATCCATCCATCCATCCATTATCTATACCGCTTATTCCTGAATAGGTTCACGGGGGGAGCTGGAACCTATCCCAGCTGACATTGGGCAAGAGGCAGGGTACACCCTGCACAGGTCGGCAGTCTATCACAGGGCTGACATGTAGACAAACAACCACACACTCACTCCTATGAGCAATTTAGAGTTGCCAATCAACCTAAGCTGCATGTCTTTGGACTGCGGGAGGAAGCCGGAGTACCCAGAGAGAATCCACGCAGGCACAGGGAGAACATGTAAACTCCGCAACAGTTGTTGATGGGTCAGCCGGGGCCTTTCTGTGCCGCTGATTGTAGTAGGCATTTAGTGGGAAACTGGCACAGTATACTGTATGCACTTTGAGCTACATATACCAAGGCTTGCAAGCACATTTCTAGTGAACTCCTCCTTTTCTCTGTTTAAGATCTGGTTTACTGCAGTATCATTGACTGCAAGTTTAAACTGGGTTACAGTAGAATGTGGGAGGTGGGGGGGCTCGTGAATGTGAGGGGGTGGTGACGGATGATGGCGAGTTGCCAGATTGTGTAAAATCAGCAGGGACCTCCCACCCTCAGGCTCTTGACTATCGCCTCCCATGACAAGAAAATTGGGCAAGTTTGGTGATTTCAGTGCTTTTTTTGGCATGGGGAGGTGTATGCAAAGCTTTGAACAATGACACACGGGTGGGCATGTTCTAAAAGGACCCCCACTGAGTGACTAAGCCGAGCCCCAAGCTTCGATGGAGCGTGTGGGTGAGGGCCTAATCTGGCAACCTACAAGCTGCAACCTTCCAAACCAATTTTTTAATCACAAAGACCTGCATTGTTTCGACCGAACCCACCATCTGTGTAAAATTGTGGAGACCCCCTGCATCTTATCTGATTCGATGGTGTGTCTGTACACAAGTTTTCTCTTTATCTGTTCACAGAACAAAAAATTCAGAGTTTCAGCTTGTGAAAAAGTGAAATATTACCAATAATGTGGAGCTCTCACCTCTATCTCTTGTTTTCTTTCTCATTGGTCATGTCTTCTGTTGTGGTACTTTGTGTTCTGATGGGGTTCTGCATGGTCCGGTCTGATCTAGACAAGCCAAGGTGTTCTGAGTCAAGACTGTGTGGAGGTCATGCTGAGAGCCTATGATGTGGTTCGCTCATCCTGCACCTCCATTAGACGCAGGTTCCTCATGTCAGACCATGCCCGCACAGGAAGTGTCTCTGTGCAGGACTTCAGGAAGGTGAGCTCAGCTACAGCACCACCATGCAGAGCTTCACCTGTTCTGCTGTACACCAGCCATGTCAAAAACTCAAAGATAGAGTGTTATGAATTATTGATGCGGTCATTTGAACTCCAATTGTGTCTCGTCCATCAACTTGTCTGAAGGAGAATGATGGAGAGTGACTGGAAATCCATGAAGCTCAAGTGTGCAAGCCTGCAAAGTCATGCACACACACACACACACAGTTGTTGACCTGACAGCCAATCAGTAATTCTAATTGTTCAATTAGGCTGAAGGTTGAAAAAAGACCTAACTGATATTTTGGCCCAAGAGAACAGCAGCTGACACTTCTGTTTTATTGTACCTGCCATTTACCTGCAGAACAAGTTATAGATGACAATTCTCCCTGAGCTGATCAATAAAAACAATTAGCAACCTGATTAGGGATGACATGTCCTAAATGTCCACCTAATACATCAGATATGCACATTTGTGCACCCATGCGCACCCCAACTATTGCTGTGTTGCTCTGCAGGTGCTGTGCCATTTCGGTGTGAATCTATCAGAAGAGGAGTTCTTCCACCTCAGCTCTTACTTTGATGCCCACACCACAGGGAAGATCTGCTACAACAACTTCCTGTGGGTGTTCCTTCACTGACCTTCATTTATACACCTATAGCAAGCCTTTGCATGGTTACCTGCTGGGCTAAGTGGGCACCAGACAGCCAGAGGGCATAGAGCTTAGAGCTTGGCAAATAGTTTTTAATGTACACTATTAAAATAAAATAATTGAATTGAAATGGCTCAACTGGCTTTTTAAAGAAACGTCTAAAGATCAGAGTTTTTTTTCACTTTTTTTATGTGAACTGAATCTCTTTGCTGTTGTCTGCCACTATTTTTCATGAATATAGCTAGCTGGCTTTGTGTGGGTAGATGATATTCATATTCGTAATCCACCAGCTAAACTTTGATTGATTAGTTTAGTTTTTCCTTAAACAAGGGAAAAAACTGTCAATAGGTAAAAAAAAATCTGATCGGTCTCTAATGAAATCAGAGGTTTTTGTGGAGATTCAAGGTCTGGAATCAGGCTAGCAATAAAAAGAGGGACTAGATTACAGACAAAGATGGTGGACTGTGACCTAGATTGTGTGCTGTCAACCTCAGCTAGAAGTTATCAACTTTTTCTGGAAGCTGGGTGATAGTAACCCTAACCACTTACCTGAACCCTAAATCTGTTGAGGTTAAATGACTTATGCTTAATACCAACTTCTTCTTGCCAAGGTCAGCAGTCCACCATCTTGTCTACAGGCAGGTTCCTGACAACAATGCACACTTCAAGCCACGTGTGGTGTATTGTGGTGAACGGTGGAACACATCTGAAACTTTTAGCCAGAAAGGCCAAATAAACACTTCTTCTTAACCTGTTTTTAAGTTCCTCTTTAGGCCAGAGAGGCCCTGAAAAAAAACTGGAAATGTCCCCAACAATGATAGGGCTTTTCCATCACAGGAACTATTGAAATGGGATGGACCATGTAAAACTCATCCCGGGTTGTGTGTTTGTTTCCACTGCCCTCTGCCCACTTCATAGGTGCATTTTGGGAGCTAAATTTTAGCACCCCCTAGGAGGTAGTACTAAAATCAAGTTCCAGGAATGCAAGCGTTGGGTGCTCGTGTCTTCCTGTTTCAATCATTAGTATTACAAGTGCTGTGTGTAAGGCAAAGCAAGGCAAATTTATCCACAGTATATAGCACATTTTCATATGCAAAGGCAATTCAAAGTGCTATATACACTCACTGATTTAGAGGTAAATTATGAGGACTTGTTTAGAAGGAAAGTCAGAACTTCAGCAAGTGGACGCTGTGGTGAAGACTTCACATTTCTGCAAGTTTGTGTTCTGCTTGTTCAACAGCTGTTTGATAAACTGTTCATACCGTCTCTGTTAGTGGCTGATTTTGTTGCATTAAGGAGCACTGTGATCCCCACATGCTTTGCTGAGTTGTGCATGAGTATCTGTGATAGGAGCGCACCCTACCCTCATCAGGAGAGGGTGGGGGACAAATACAGTGGAAAAGCAAAACAGAACTGTCCATATGTCATGGATTCAACAAAGAGATCCCTCAAGAGAATTGACCGGAAAAGCGTGGAAGAATAAAGATTAACAAAGTGGGATTGATAAATGATTTGAGAGTTCTCTACCCTCTGTTTACTGCCTGACTATTTGACAGTGATTTGTGTTCCAAAGCCAATCACATAACGTGCATTTTTAATGATACAGAAGCACCAGGCATGTTCTTTTGTTTAGATGGGAAAGAGATAGAGGAGATGTCTGTCATTCAGTCAAATGAAACAATATATTGTAGCACTCAGAGAGGAGAGAATCATACTGTAGAGCGCTGGGAATCATTATTTGAGGAAGAGAAGGACGAGCAGATGGTTAAAGAGGTGAAGAGAACCGAGAAAAGGAGCTCAGTATTGTGGTTGGAGAGGCAGAATGAGAAAAAAAGGGAGGGAGGGAGCTGGAAGAATAAAAGAGTATATGAAAGCTAGTTGTATTAATGGCAAAGTAAAAAGGCATCCGCAAATAAATTACACAGTCTCCCCTGGGATTACTAATGTAATTATTTGAATGAGGGCTCTCATTTGAATGTGCAGAGGTGTGGAAGACCTGCGGAACAAAATGGGAGACAGAAATGGAGCGGCAAGGGTTTAGCTACTGGAAATTAACTCGTTGCTCTGGGCTCTATAATTGATACAATACACAGATATCTTTGACTGGAACAAAGGGGAAGAAGCAGGATGAGAAAAGTTTCCTCGCCACCTCAAATTTTTTTTTTACCCCCTAGAAAAAGAAATAATGGAGAGGAGAGACAAAAGGGAACAGTGAAGATGGAAATAAGGAAACATGATCCACTGGTCACAGATAAGGTTTTATTCAATCGGTGAATTATCTCTCAGAACCAGCAGAATCCTTGGTTTTAAGAAGAAAAGTACTTTACATCTTTACATTTGTCTCCAGGAGCAACGCAGTACAATTTTGCTGCTGCTGGACCTTCATTTTCTTATTTTACTTTCTGTCAAAAAAAAAAAAAAAAAAAACAACAAACAAATAAACAAACAAACAAAAAAAAAACTGGAAATGTCCCCAACAATATAGGTAAAATACAGCACCCCTTTCATATCCATAAAAAAGTCCTGAACTTCAAAGCCACCCAGTATTTTTGAAATTTTAAAGATACAGCAAATAAAAATGTCACCAAGGACACAAGTTACTTAGTCCTTTATAACGTACCACAACAATCTACTTTCAGTTTTAACTGTCAGTCATTCTGCCTCTTCCTTTTTTCAAATAGTGTATATTTCATTTGGGGGGAGAAAAAACCTCTTCATATGCAGATTGTCTGAGTTGAAGAAGTCATTAACTCCTTTAAGCATGCCTCACCAAATAAATCAAGAAATATTACAGCACTTTTTTCTTAGAAAAAAAAAACAGGAAACACACAACACAGCTATTGAAGTAGAACAGCATCAAAGTGAGAGACATCTAAATGAGGACTGGAACTGGAGAGTCAGACCAAACAGAGAGCTTTTCATGAAACTCGAGATGAAAGTTCCTCCCATCTTTTGGTTTTAATAGTTCATTTATTCCTTCCATGGACATTTTTCTTCATAGACACTAATTAAATTTGTGTTTTAAATGCTGGGTCTGAGCACACTCTTTTGCTATTTCTATTAAATACACTCCCACAGACTCACACACCCTCTATCCTGCTTGTACGGACCCTTCTAACCCTGGTTTGAAATCTTCCAACCTTAAGCCTAAAACACTGGTATTTTAAAGCGGATCACAATATGTTATTCCAAAACCACAGAGATTTAGTCAATAATTTGCAAATGAAAACAATATCTGTGTTTAAAAGACAAACTCATAGCAGCACAGTGGCTAGTATTACATATATGAGTGTTTTTTTTACCTTTACCAAGAATTTGTTTGACTTTTATTAACATTTTTAGTTTCCAACCTTTTTTTTTTATATTTGTTTGTTTTTGTGTTTTAATTATCTGAAATGAAAAAAAATGGTACAACCTTGTGGCCCTTTGCATTTTTCTTGAGTTTGTCTCTTAATATCTGCTAGCATTCCAAGCTAATTATCTGCTACTTAGTCTTAACATGTTGTAACATTAGCCATTTGTCTCTGGACTTTGTCAGTGTTTTCAACTGGTCCCTCTAGCTGTTGTTAATTAGTTAAATCTGACCAAACAAAACTACCATAAATTACATACTGGCTCAGGTACTTTCACTTTAGCCATATACTGTAACTCTGTGAGGCAGAGCATGGTTAAAACAATATTTCCTGAACAGTTATAATATTCAACTACCAAAGCAGTAGTTGTCAAATTGAATGTGTTTACTTACTCGACAAAATGAGGAGGAGTAAATCAAACAGATTCATTTGGGATTAGTTGCAAGCTGTTCCATGGTTTATTCTTAGGTCACTATTAGGGTTACATCTAACAATTCTTTTCATTATTGATGATTACTCATTATCCATTTCAAACAGCCAGCCGTGAAGGAGCTCTTGACAGCTAGAAGTCCAAAACAGTGGTTGCCAGACCAAAGAGGTGGCGTTCAAATTTGATTCAGATGTAGCATTCTTGCTTCTTGATGTGTTAGTGTATAAAGCTAACATGTTTGTTTTGATAGCATTAGCAACCTAGCCTGGTCACAATTTTACCTTTGTGTCCATTTAATATGATTTTAATTTGGGAGTAATTCCAGCTTTGTGTAAAGTTAGTGTTTTGTTAACACTGTTCTGGATCGTCTCCTCACTGTCAACCTCATCACTTGACATTGTGCCGCTTCTGTAGAGCCGGGACTCATTAGTCCGCTAATGGTAGCGTCAAACTGGTGGCTGCTTTTTGTACCGTTTGTTCCAACAAGGCATCTGTAGTTGGCGTCGTTGCTAGGAAACAAGACATGTCAGCTAGTTTTGAGTCTCACTAAACCCTCTAATGGCTGAAAATAATTTAGTAAATGCACCTTTAATTAACTTAACCCTAATCTTAATCCTTATGTTAATATTAACTCTAAATGTGCCCCTTAAAGAAATGAGGATCAACCAACATGTCCTCAGGGCCTAAAATTTAAACTGGTCCTGATAAAAATGGTGTAACACGCACAGACCCTCAGGCATCAACATACAGTACTTGGACTAACAAATGCTCATACCTTCCACCATTATCCACAGACACAAGTTTGTTGGTGAACACTTCTGCTGCACTGTCCTTTTTTGCCCATTTGGAAACATTAAGACGTCAGCTGGCACAGTGAATGCTGATGTGCTGAAGAGAGTGAAGCAGGAGCAAACTGCAGCTCCAGGGAATGTTCGTACATAATGTCGGAGAGCAGGCAGATCAAAGTGTGACTTGGTTTTGTTATGTTAAACACATTCAGAGTTTCACTGGCAACGGCCTTATTCAGTAAATAGAGCAAAGAACAAAAATAAAAAAGATGCTTTCTTTTAAGCAAACTGCTTAGGGACATAAAAGAGTTAATAATCACCAAATGGGGCCAAGCGGCTTCACAGGGAAGAAAATACCATAACAAGCATTTACATTACTAAGAAACAGACCAAATGAAATACAACAACCACACATTTCCGGACACAAATATTTAACAAGATTCTGAAAAGCATAGCAACAACTTGGAAATCATTTTTTTACACTGACAGAACATTTACATAGACCAGTTACAGTACATTTAGTTACAGCTTCGCTCCTCTTGAAAGAGGATAAAAAGTTCCATCTCTCCTGTGAATAACACGAGGGAGTATACTTGAAACAACCATCAATGTTCAGAAGTAGTGTTAGCATGAAGCACCATTGTGTTGCATGTTTCCTGCTGCCCTCTAGATGTTCAAGAAAAATGGACCTCCCAGTTGTACCTAAAAAGCTCAGCTAGTCACTCAAAGCATGAAGGATGATGTGGAAGGGAAAAATAAGACAGAGGAGAAAAGGCAAAAGAAAAGCTATGTGAAGGAGCAAAAAGGGTAAAGAGAACTGGAAGTGCTGCAAATCGTTTCCTCTGTGTCCTCTCCCCGGCCGAATAAAAGTCTTACTCAGGGATGTAATGAGACCCAGGGGAGCAGTGTCAACATGTTTGACACCCCAACTCTCACACAGCCTGTGGCAGAGACCTCTCACTGCCCTCACGCACTTGCTTTGATCTTACATACACACACATACAGTACATACTGCGGACCAGAGGAGGAGAGAGAAACAGAAGGAAGAGAAAGAGATTGCTGGAGCGACTGGAGAAGAAATGAGGGAAAGAATTGAAAACGAATATTTAAATGTAGAAAGGAAAAAAAAAATCTATGAAAATTCCCCTGGCAAATGTTCTGTTGCTGAGTCCTAGGTTCCTGAGTGCTAGGCTAAAACTCTACTGTAGACAAAGTGTTGGGTTGTTTCACTGCAAGTTCAAATGTTTTCAGTTAATTTCAAGTGAAAAAGGCCAACAGGGATGTCGGGGTGTCTCTTTTGTCTCTCTGAAAGCCACAGAAGATTGTCAGTACAGTAAAAGAGAACACAGAGTTTGTCCGCATGTAAAAGCGCCTCTTTGCTCATCCATTTGTCTTAGACTCAGTTAGTAATGAAGAAAATATGGCACAAAAAATAACATCAACAGCGTGAGGGAGCATCCCGTCCAGTTCTCTCCACAAACGGACTCTCCAGGCGTGTACCATGTTGTGTCACCTTAGAGACACACCTGCCTAATATTTACAGAACTCGGTCCGTTCTGCCCGCCAACCTCACCTACCTCGCCTGGTGCCTTTCTCCTGATTGGTGGTATGAGTTTGGGGGCGAGCTTCCTCTAGTCATGTGTTCCTGGGGTTGGGAAGGTCGAAGACGATGGGTGGGTTCATGGGCAGGAAGTTGACGGTGCAGGCGGAGGCATTGATAAACGTTGTGGTGCCGTCGGTCATCATGCCATAACCTGAGAGAGGAGGGAAAGAAGTGATTAACTTACTGAGACTGTCAAGACAAAACTACTCTTTGTCATAAACCTTTACTTGGCATTAAAGAAAGCACACAGTAGAGCAGACAGCATCATTATGTTGTAATCCTAACCACACCTGCACAGTGAATGATTATGGTTTTGTATTTAGGAAAAGAAAAAAGTAATGCCCCATATTTTTTCTGACACTCAGCTTTTATTTTGAAAATTTAACTGACTGATAATGGGAAAAGTTATTTTAGAATATGCTGCACTGCATTTAAAATCAAATCACAACTTGACATTATATAGAATAAAACACAGTGGAGGATATTTGCTAATTGCAGTTAGGGTGCAAAATTATGCATCACGGCAAACTCACAACATTCATCACATACATACGAGGCATGTAGTACAAACCTAAATTTGCATAAAAATGTACTAAATGTAACCCGACAGAGCACAGAAGAAGTGTTTTCTGCTTCTGAACAGAGAATATTGGTTGAATATTACTGTAAATTATTCCTATAGAATGATTCTGTTATATGAAGAAATATTAGTTACACAGCCTAATGTTTTTAGTTAAAAAAAATCAGATCAGCAAATGTAGGCATGAGAGTGTGACACTAACACCACTCCAGTTAAAACAGTTCTACTTCAAAGCACTTTAGATCAATGTGTCTTCCAAATGGCAGATGCTACTAGTGCTACCACTTTGTCAAGCAGAGGTTATAGCCACTATCATAAAGTACTACAGTTTAACTTTGCACTATGTGGGATTTTTTTTTAAGTGCAGGTGTCACTTTCACTGCCTCTTAGAACAGAACTATGCATGTTTGTGTTGGTCCTTGGAATATATGAATACAAAGCACACTGATGAGATTTTCTACATTCCTGAATCTTTTTCCCAGAGTCCTCACAATAATGAAGTGTGCTGCTTTCAGCCTATTTCTCTGCTTACAAAATCTGATCTAGTTTCTAATCTGGTTCTCTCTGATGGGGGACTGCTGCTCCAGGGGCTCAGCATTGACCTGATAACCCTGAAAAAAGTAATCCTCAGTCCACAGAGACAGGCTCTCTGCCCTCGCTGGCCTGGATGAAATGCTGATAGGGATGTGGCTGCTCAGATGTTCTCTAATCCGCAATTTAATCATTTCCTTATATAATATAATATTGTACTGTCTCCATATTCTCCAAGGTTACATGAGCAGAAATGACTTCTCAGTGAATCTGCTTACTATTAAAAAGGTTTGATTTATGGTAAAGGACATGGCTTTCCACCTATCTGCACCAGTATAATAGAGAATGGAGTGTTTAGGTGTGAAGATGTCAGAAACAGCTATGCAGTAGAACATGAAAATGTGTGTAAGCTGCAGCAGATACTGCGTTGATCTATGCTCAGTATATCATTAACATGAATGCCAGGCTGAAAAATGGGTAAACAGTATTTTGTAAATAACAACAGTGGAAATGAGTGTATATCTCCACTACAACCCTGAGGAAAAGGCATTGCACCATGTTTGTGTGTGCATCAGGGCTGTAATAAAAACCATAAGTCAAACCTGAGTAAGCACTGAGGCCAAAAACTGACTGATGTGAGGATAGGTGAAATGTGATGGGAGCAGGAGATGATATTAATTTGCCTAAAGTTTACATTATTTGCTAAAATTTTAATTATAACTGCAAAATAATGTGTTTATATTAAATTAAATATTTTTGAGAGTATGATTACACACATTTCTGATTCTGATTTGTGCATGCAACTAAATCAAAATTCCTATAAAATCTCAATTTGTTTATATAGCACTTTAAAACAATGTTTTGTTGATGTACTTCATCAACAAGACATTGACGCTACCATTCACATATATATGATAATAAAATAAATAAAAACAGGTTCATTACAGAAAATAAAAACAAATCCTACACAGGTGACATAAAACAAAGTCAAACAGAGGATATCAGACTCAACCAAGTCTTAAAAGCCATAAAGAATAAATAAGTCTTAAGCAGAAATTTAAAAAACTGCCAGGTCTGTGGCGGCTCTAACACTGAGAGGTAAACTATTCTATAGTTAGGTGCCACTATGGCCAACGCACAATCGCCCCAAAATTTGTGCTTAGACATTGATACCGCGAATAAAAAACAATTCAGTCCTTGCTGCTTGTTCCACTGTATCAGTTTACAGAGGTATAGAGGTGCCAGTCCATTTAAAGCCTGAAAAACAAAAAGCAACAACTTAAAATCAATTCCAAAAATGAACTGGAAGCCAGTGGAAAGGCCAGAATAGGGGTTATATGGTCGTCTTTATGTGTACTTTGTCAAGAGACCAGCAGCAGAGTTTTGGACCATCTGAAGGTGAGAGAGTGAAGAGTGACTGACTTCAGAGTACAGTGTGTTGCAACAGTCAACTTCACATCGAAAATGAAATTGCCCAGATAAATAGCAAAGACACACAGTGGGAAGTGAATGGAAAACTGCTAAATGACTAAACAAACAAACTGGATTCAGGCCAAGAACAAGAGGAATTGAGTCAAACCAGCCACAAGACCAAGCGACAGCAAAAACACATCTCAAAATCAGACTGGAGTATATCCAAATTATAAATAATAATAATAATAATAGAAATATACTATAAATTTGTCAAAGCTCTGCATGAGAAATTAAATTCACAGATTTAAATGATGAATTATTAGAAGTGCTAAAAGAGGAGGGTTAGTAGAAATAAAACAGTTGCAAAACACTTTTCACCTTTTGTGTTATTTATAAATGTAAAATTTCAAAAGTGAACTGTGCAAGTTGTATTTTACACACACAGTGGATTATCATGTGACCCTCTGTTGTAAGAGCAGAACAGTATTGTGTGTGGGTTTATGCCTTTTAAAATCACATGCACAAACCTTCATGAATGTGTCCAAATACGTGTAATTTGGGCTGGACTCTCCTCTGGACCGTGTTGAGCAGCTCCATGCACCCGACACGTTGCATCTTCTTCGGGACCCAGTCCAGGAAACCTGCACACATTGACATGCAAATCAAACACACCTCACACCAAACACGCTGCCATGGAAGACCATGACAATGCATCATATTTCATAGGTACTATACAATAGACCTTGTAAATATTGTATTACAGTGACTACAGATTCGTTCTTTTTATTCAAACTAAGCACCCCCCCACCCCAAAAAAGACCAAAAACAATCAATATTAATGGAAATTAAAATGTGTTTTATTGCTATGCATGTTGTCTTTCTTTTTTACATTTATTGTTAAACTCTCATATAAAAAACTTTATAAAAAACTAAACTGGGAACAATATTGATCATATTTGGATTATTTTTTCAATGGGAAATTCTGTAGTTAAATGTGTCTAGATGAAAATTATACATTTTATCTCCCTTCAAAAGGTGATGCATTACATTTTACAACAAAGCTCTTCATTTCACACTCCTTGTCTAATTGCAATCTGCACATTGCAGCACAAAAAAGACTTAAAAAGCAACCATAGAAAATAAAAATCAATCATAGCGACACACAGATGCAGACTTCACAGTGTGTGTGACAAGGATGAAGCACTGAGTGTATATGATTTAGTGGCTACTGCGTGAGGAGGGATGCTGCTGATGCTGAGTCAATAAAAGCATCAAGTCAGAGAAATAAGAAGATTGTGCCTCCATCTTCCCTGCCTTCTGTCGCTCAGCCCAGACAGGAATATGTAAGTAAACATGAAGGAAGAGAGAGAAAGAACAAATAATCAACAAGGGAGAGAAAGTGATTCAAGACTAAAACTCCTACTAGTAGTGCCCTAATGACTGCTAACCTACAATACAAAAAATGGCTGAAATAAATTATTATTTTGATTGTATGTTGTGTCTACCAGAAAACAAAAGTGCCCATTGTAAATTTTAGGGCCCAAGGTGACACTTTGAAATAGTTTATTTCCTGCATGAAATCCAATACCAAATCCCTAAGGGAACAATAAAGTATATGTTAACACAGTTCAGCTCATCAACCAACAGCTACAGACCCAGATTCATTCTCTGGGGAGCATGAAAGTGTCCAGAAAATACAAACTGCCCGTTTGATTTTCAAAGTGCAAAAAGTTCAGTAGGCCAACAAAACCTGTAGTATTCGTCCTCTGGGGACCATGAATATCTACAGTAACTCAACTTGAGAGGCAGGTCCAAGCCAAGTCTCGTGTCATTTGATATACTACTTATTTATTATTTGACTTATTATAGTGAAACTTACTGTACTAAAATAACCAAAATTTAACAAACAATTGTTTTTTTAATGGAAATAGTTCCCCTCAGCTTTTTGCCTTCAAGTCACATTGAATCTTAAGCTTTCAAGCCAAGCCTCACAGCAGATGATTCCAAATTGAGTCTTGCACCCTCATTTTGCAACTCACGTCCACCTCGAGTCCAAGTCTCGAGTCTCAAGTCTTCAGCTCAGGCTTAAAACACTGAATTCAAAATTTGGTGAATCATTACCAGTCCAACATTTCACTTTTTAAATAGTGGAATTAATGAAAAAAAATAATTGAAGCACCCAAAACTATGCACATAACAGTTCAGCTGTGGGCATTGTCCAGTACACTGACTCTCTAGGGATGACATTAAGATTCTTTATACATTTCTATTTTGTAATTACCAAACAGAGTGATAAACATCTCACCGAGGCAGATTTAATGAGTCCTCTCATACTCAAGACAGACATTAAGACTTTTATGTTCTTAGCTGGCAGTGAATCATTCATACTGGTACAGTAAAATGATACAGTCTGACTTCTGAGTCCTCTAAATGTATGTACCTGTAAAAGTCAAACTTTTAGTATCAGTACCCTAAAACGCTTAAGTGTATTTTTTTACAAGCCTTGTGCCGGTGGAAGTGAAGTGAGAAGTTACGAGGGCTTTTTGTGTCTCAGGGTATTTTACTCTAATGTGCCACTTGTTTCAAAGCAGCTGCTACTTTGGGCACGAAGCCTGTTTTCCTCTTTTTGTCTCACTTTCTCTCTTTCTCTCTGCTGTTAACTTCTTCCTCACAGCCAGATAAGGAGGCCATATTTTTCCTCTCTAGCTGCCGATCTGCCGCTTTATCGCGCCTCCTAAAAGACAGGCGCTTTTGCCGCAGTGCGAAAAAAATGTCTTGCTTGCACTCCTTTTCCCTTCACCTTGTCATTCATTCTTCATCTCTCTATCTTCTAACAAATACTTTGAAAGTGGAGGTATTTCCTGCTGGTGCTTTAAAGAATCCATGCATCCACTTTATCATCCACACTTTTGTCCTCCATTCCTTTTTCTTTCTCTCTGCCGCCATTCCCTCCAGTCTTGCTGCAAGTGTTTGTGTATGTGTGTCTCATGCATTAGTAGCCTGCTGTAGCTGCTCCATATGCTGGTGGCTTACAAGCAGATAGCTGGAGACACTTGGCTAAGCTGAATGGAAAATAAACGGCCATGTTCGCAGCCGAGACGCAGACATAGAAATCAATCACATACACTCATCTGAACACCACAGCTGCAGCGGGAGATGAGGTGTGAAAGTGTGTGTGCGAGAGTGACAGAG